CGTTAAACCGTTAATATTAACGGTTCTATATATGTATATACATATATAATATACATATATAATATACATACTATATATGTTACTTAATATGTATAGTACTAATTAGTACTGTGTTAAACCCTGTTACACTATATACGTTAGTACTATATAGTACTAATACATAGAGCGTAACAGAGAATCACAGAGTACTAATTAGTACTATATACATTAAGTAATATATATAGTATATATATTATATATGTATATTATATATATATAATGTATATATATACAACCGTTGAAATTAACGGTTTAACGGTTTAACGGTTTCCAGATTCTGGCCATAGGGGGGGGGCCTTTCCTGGGAGGCCTGGCTGTATAAGTATTATATAATTACTCAATTCAGTACCGGAAAGCACCCCACCCCCACATCTCCCATTCACAGGGAGTAGGGGTGGTAAACCACCCCTGTTTTTTTTTGTTTTTCTTGCTTCCCGCGCTCAAGCCCGTCGACTCCCGCGCCGCCGCTCCCTGCCGCTATGGAGGGGAAGGAGCAGCCTATGCGGGTTGTGAGCTCGCTGACGGGGGAGAGCTTCCGTTCCCATGAGGTGTGTGTGATGTGCGGGGTTCTCCTCGGCACGGGGGACGGTCGTCGGAGCAAGACGGCGCGGACCTTCCAGTGCATGTTAGAGAACCGCTGGCGGGAGACTCCGTTTGTGTGGGCTTCGGTGAGAGAGGTGGCGGGGGCGAGGAAGGATCCCAACTACCGCCTGACGGCCTGCACGGCCTGCATCAACTGGATCCGGAGGTCGGTGCCGAGCAACGAGCACGCGGAGCAGAGCGTGGGGAAGCGGAAGGTGTATCTCCTGATCGACCGGCTGATCTGCTTCTCCCTTGCTCCCGGGGAGGTTGCGTGCCCTGACATGCGGAACATGAGGAGGCTGCTTTCCTGTCTCCTTGAGGAGAAGGTGGTAGGGAAGGAGCGGGTGGTGAACTACTACCGCGCCGCCGTGCTGCCCGAGCACCTGCGCCAGGCGCTGGAGGAGTGCGGCGGTGAGGTGAACTTGTTCATCCGGAGGGTGGTGCTGCGCTGGTTCAGGGATGTGAACAACAGCTCCCCGGTCTTCCGCCATCCCAACACCGCCTACATCGTGCGGAAGGCGCTGGGGTGGACGAAATGGGACACCTGCGTGCGGGTGTGTATTAAACGGGATGGCAATGAATGGGATGGCGAGGAGGACGAAGATGCAACACTCGGGTGTGATGAGCTCGGGAGCCCCGGTGACGGCGCCTGACACTACCCTGGAGGTGTGCTGCGTGGGCATCACCGATCCGCAGTATATGCCCGAAGCGCTGCACGAGGTAGAGCGGAGGGTAAGGGCGGAGGCTTTGGCGGAGGCGGAGGAAGTGCCTTGCGCCGCGCTGGAGGCCGGGAGCTGGAAGGAGTTTCGCGGGAGCGCGCTGGCCTGGGCCCGTGGGTACCGTTCCTCTCCTCCCTCGGGCTGTGTCCTTCCGCATAACCTTGGTGTGGTCTCCTTCGTGAGTGGCATGCTATCGTACCGCGTGCCGCAGGTGGAGGCAAGGGAGCCCGAGACGGGGAGGAAGAGGAAGGATTACGAGGAGGAGTGCTAGTGTTTTCGAATAAAGTAAGGATGTTTCGTCTCCATCACCCCCACCACCCCTTCTATGCATGTATATAAATCGCTTGCTTGCCTAGCACCCAAGATGTCGGCCAGGATCCGCGTGCGTGCTAAGTTGTCGGGTGCGGCAGGGAGTGACGTGAAGGACGATATCTTGAATGTGAAGGGGGCGAAGATGCCCTTCGTCGGGGCGGTTCGCATCGTGTGCGAGAGGAAGGGCGTGGAGCACGACATCATTGAGCACGCAATGGCGTGGGTGGGCTGCCGGAACTCGTACTCGGCGGTGCCGCTGGGGGAGGGGCTGTTTGTGGTGTCGGGTGATCTGGCGGAGGCGGAGGTCAGGGATCTGCAGCTGATGGCGGTGGCGCCCGGCCCTTCCCCGGAGCAGCTGGCGATGATGGGCGCCCCGCCGAACTCCAAGGACATCCACGTAGGGACGGGGAGGGTGCCGCTGCGTGGCCTGCTGGAAGTGTCCTGCGGGGACGTTGGGAGCGTCGAAGAGGATAAGCCCAGGAGCGCGCTGATGAGCATCGGGTACGACCCTGTCCAGCCCGACGTGGAGCTGAAGGTGCAGGCGGTGCCGCTGCCAGAGGGGATGCGGGGGAGGTTCCGGGAGATGAACCGGGCGGCGCTGCGGGCCTTCGGTGCGATGGAGGAGACGCTCATTCCCATGGGCCAGGACCGCATCCACCGCTACAACATGCGGCAGAACCTGATCTCGCAGCGCTTCTACGCGGAGCTGCTGCAGCGCGGGATCAAGCGGCACCCGGAGGGGGTGATGACTGGGTCGTTTGTGAGCAGCATCGGAAACACGCTGGTGGATCTCCTGACGAACATGGATGTGATCATGCAGGAGAAGATCCGGCTCTCGAGGACGACGGCGCTCGACGCCTTCGGCATCACCTCGTCCCTGTTCCGGATGACGGGGTTGTCGTTCCACGACCGCATCGACGCGAGGTCGGCGGGCGACTGCCTGGCCAACGTCGGCGGGCTGTTCGCCTCGGACTTCACCTACGCCAGCGACGTCAAACCCATGTTGGCGGAGAAGACGCCGCGGGACCTGAAGCCGATCATCGAGAGGGAGGAGGGTGATGGTTACGTCATCGAGGTGTACGAAGATAGCGAAGAGCAGGAGAAGGTGCCCTCCTACGCAATGAGCGAGGACATCATGGTGCCGTTCTCGGACATCTACCTGAGGTCTGCGCGGGCGGGGGATGCCCTTGGAGCTTCCATCGGTGCCAGGATCAAGAATCGCACCCCCGGGGAGTCGCTCTTCAACCACCTGGACAAGAAGCGCCGGGGCTACATCGAGGGCCTGCGCCACGGGGACTGCGAGGACCTGGCTCACATGGCGATCCTGCAGTTCAGCTACATGCGCCGCTTCTGCGTGAGGCTGAGTAGCAAGTGCGGGGTGATCTACGACGAGTACCCAGACCTCGAACGCATGGAGCCGGAGAAATTCGCGGGCGTGGTGCTCGAGTCACTCCGCGGGCAGCCCGAGCTGAAGGACTGGACGGATGACGAGCTCCGGGGCGTTCTGCGGCAGTGCGGGGAGTTTGGGGAGCACATCCATGACACCTCCATGCGGGCGGTGCTGATGACGGCCAAGGCGGCGAAGATGTCGGCGTCGGGCAAGCCGATGAACATGCACCCCGCGGGTCACTGCGCGGCAATGATCGTCCGCGGGAGTTCGAGTGTCAAGAGTGCTCCGAGCAGCGCCGTCGTCTCCTCCTCTGCCGAGAACGACCAGAGCAGCTACGACCGCATCCTGACGGAGCTGACGACGGCGGTGAGGATCGAAAGCTTCGCGGGACGGGGGGAGGTGGTCGGGAAGCCGAGCGCCTACGTGTCGCAGAAGATCCAGGCGGCAGGAGGCCCGCCCACCCCGCTGACGGAGGCTGCCTTCTACAACCAGTGCACGATGCTCATGGCGCCGTCGCGGGAGATGAAGCCCTGGATGCACATCGGGAAGCTGGACGGCATCTTCTGGCACGTGGTGTCGACGATCGGGGACACGATCCTGGTGAAGAACTCCGTCGCGGGGGTGCCGATCTCCGAGGCGGTGAGCACCTCCGACCCCTCCCTGCGCGGCATCAAGATCGACTTCACGGAGGAGGAGAGGAAGGAGACGCTCCTGATGGCGCGCTACGCCCTGCCCCCGATCGAGAGCAGCACCGCCCTAATCGGGAAGAAGCTCGACCGCCCGCTGGGACGCTGCCTCTACGGCCCCGACACGATCCCCATCAGCTATGTCCTGGCTCCCAGCAAAACCGCGGAGGTCGCCGCCTGGGTGGGGCAGAACCAGGCGCAGCGCTACCAGGTGACGCTGGGCGGGAAGATCATCGCCGTCCACCAGATGAACAAGTGCGCGATGAAGGGGCTGCGCGAGAGCTTGATGAAGAAGGATAGGGTTAATTTTGTGAGTATTTAGTGTGTTTATGAAAATTCTTTTTTACTCCTCCCCCTCTCCTGACCTCTCCGGCGTTGACTGGACATCTCCTGCCGCTTCCATCTCCTCCACTGCCAGGATGGGGGTAAGCGCATATGAAATTTCAGGGACGGGAGCTTGGATGGGAGTTTCAGAGATGGGAACTTGGATGGGAGCTTCAGGGACGGCCACGCGCTGGGAGAGAGTTGCGGTGCGCTGGAAGAGCGGTTGGGTGAGGGCCGGGAGGGAGGGGGCGGTGAGCACAGGGAGGGAGGGGGCGGACAGGTGAGAGGGGTGATTGTCGAGCGTCTGGAAGGAGTACGAGAGCGGGAGCGGGGTGAGTCCGACGAGGGCGGCAGCAAGCATGGTCACTGTCTTCATCTTCTAGAGAATTACACCGTGGGAGTGTTTTATATACCCTAGGGTGTGGCTGTGAAGGCGCGCAGGATACCGTCACACACGGAGTTGAAGACGTCGACGACGATCCCGTAAAGCTCCGGGGTGAAGACGACGAGGACGAGGTCCTTGGGGTGCGTCCTGACGTGCCCTCCGAGGAAGGATAGCGCGACCGGGAGGACCAGGATGAGCAGCTCCGTGGCCGTGCGCGCGATGCTCCCACCGACGATGACCCTCCTGCCGATGCCATCCAGCGTGGTCGCCATGGTGTAGAGCACGTGGATGTTGCAGAAGCAGCCGAGCAGCACCACCAGGCTGGGCTCCAGGGTGACCAGGCGGACGAGCAGCGCGGTGTACACCACCCACGCCTCCAGGAAGTGCATGACGTACTCCAGTGTCTTCCCGTCGGCCCCCGAGGTGTAGACCAGGCTGGGCAGGAAGCACGCCACCAGGTGGAAGAGCGTGACGGCCGGGAAGAGGAAGGCCTGCGCTACCGTGAGGCGGTAGCTCTGGGCGGGGCTCTTGTCGAAGTGGAAGCCCCCCACCTCGACCAGGGTGGGAATGTAGTAGAAGGCCAGGCAGTAGCACTTCAGCAGCGTCGGGCTGCTGTTGTGGAAGGAGGGACGGCTTGTGACGGGCATCTCTGGGGAGAGAGGTGCGCGGGGAAGCGCCGCACGCGATTATAGGCCGCTGTTTTTTTTTGTTTTTTTTTACTGAAGGTACTTTAGTGAGTCAATACATGCCAAGCGAACATTGTCTCTTCCTCTCTCAGTCTTTCGTGATGGAGAAACAATGCATGGTTCATGTGATTTTCATAATATTGGTGCATCGGGTTAGTGGGTTCGGTGCGTTGGAAGCCTTCGAGTGCCGTGTGGAACTCGTTGCGGATGTTCTCGGTGTTGTAGGCACTTGGGATAGTGATGGGACTGGAAGTGGTGTGTTCCAGTTTGATCCCGCCCGGGATGTCGACGGGACGGGAGACGGTATGCTTGAGCACGATGGGTTCCTTGGATTCAATGATGATGAGCATCGGAGAGGTGATGATGGGGGTGGCATGCCGCTTAAATATTTCGTACCAGATATTAATATCGAACTTTATTGCAGCAGTAGACCTTTCACTTAATCAAAAAATCTGCTTGATGGTCTTGTATTTAAACTGAATACGGTCAACATCATTCAACCATGTTTTTCAAGATTATTGACTACGTCAAGGAAAACCAATCTGTCGCCGACTTCGAGTACGAACTCATGGCTTTGTACTACGGTAAGTCTGCTGCAAAAATCACTTTCAACGGAAAGCTCACTCAGAAAGAGAGAGAGTCCCATCTGCAGCATCTTAAGCAAAAGATGATGAAGGACAATGGCTTGTACCAAGCCTACCTCGAAGATTACATTGCGTTCCAGCGCAACAAGGCCAACACCCTTCGCTGGCACACGGAGGATCCGAAGGTTCTCATGTACAGGAGTTATTGTGCAAGCGCCGAGTACAACGCGTTCCAGGCACTCTGCGAGGGACGCCCCGTTGAAGACGTCGTGGTTGTCCAGGAGCAGCTCGTCTTGCCTTATTAGGTAATCGCAGTATAGACTTCCTAGATTGGTTCGGAATTATAATAAATCACCATTTCTTGTTCTCACCGGAACTCGTAGTTGACGTCGTACCTCAACAGTTCTCCCTCCACCTCCTCGCGGACTCGTCTGGCTGCTTCCCTGGGGAACACGTCTCTGGGATTCTTGCTTTTGAACCTGTGATGGTACCCGGGAGCCATACCGACGCCCTCGAGCACGACAGTCTTGATCTGGGAGTTCTGGGTGAGGATGTGGCGGAGGGCGCTGGTGATGGTCCTGGCGTATTTCCCCACGATCTTGTAGCAGGCGACGTTGGCCCTGTGGCGGAGCGGGGCGATGTCCCTGAAGTCGATGATGCTTTGCTCATTGCCGCCGATGTAGGGGTGGCGCGGCGTCAGGATCCACTGGGCGGAGGCCAGGCGATCACGATTGAGCTGGACCCAGGTCTCTGAGTCCGTGGAGGCAACCACCTGGGGGTTCGTGATGTGGTCCGCCGCCTCGTTGATGTAGAGGTTCAGCGCCCCCGGGGTTGGCACCCCTTTGAAGCTTGGACCCTTGCCGTGGACGTGCAAGGTGGTGTAGCACTGGGTGTATGCAAGGAAAGCCATGGGGCGGTCCATGATTCAGAGCCTTTTTTTATATTCGGATAAATACGCCTGAGCCTGAAGATCCTCCCAACCTAGCTTGGCGTAGAGCTCCAGGATCATCTCGGCGGATCGCCTCATGCAGTCCCTTTCGGTTCCTTCATACTTGATGTGGTAAAGACAGTCGTGGATCTTCTCTAGCTTCTCGATGCTCGCCCTCACGTGGTACTTCAGCATTGGAAAGTTGTTGATCGCGTTTACCAGCATGCGGTAGAGCGGGATGGGGATGTTGTTCCTGGCAATCTTCTTCTCGATTCTCAGTGCCTCCCTCGCGTAGGGATCTTCCAATTCGTTATTCTTGTTCAGAATATCAGTGTAGTGGTTCAAGACGTTCATATCATGATTCCACAGATCGATACAGCTCGTGGCCATGGTTTTCTGGGGTGGTTCCGGGCTCGTCGGCTTTTTATTGACCCATCTAGAAAAAAAAACTCCCCGTCGAAAAAAATGACATCGAAAAAAAAATAAAAAAGTCTTATCGAAAAAAAAACTCCCCTGGTCTGTCTTTTTAATTGCCTCCATGTAGCCATCTCCCTGCATCTGCACGATCCTGCCAAAGGATGAATGCACTCCATCCGCTTGACCTTCCCACAGAGCCCCTCCAGGAGTATCCCGAGGAGGAGAAGGCCTTCATCATACCCACCGAAAAGCTTTCAGTCATTTCTAGCGCCTCTATCCCAGTGGACCCCGTCGAGCACGGCCTCCGTGTGCTGTACCGCTGCCTGCTCTCGACACCCTTCTTCGCGGTGGTGCAGCAGACGTTCTTCCGGGGCAATGTCACCTGCGCGGACGTGATGCTGGAGACAGACAGGTCGAAGATACGGAAGGTGGAAGTGGCGGATTTGAAGGCCTTCGTCCGGAAGTACCTCGACCCTCTCAGGAGCTTCCACTTCGGCTGTGAGTACAACCATCCCATCCACCGGGAGCGGATCATGACCCACGGCTTCGCGCCCGCCTTCCGCGTGCTGAGCCTGGATATCGACTCGGCGATGAGCGTGGAGCCCTTCTGGAAGCAGCAGGCGTTCATGACCTGCCTCCTCGCGAACGCGGTGCTGCGGCGCTTCATGCCCGCGGAGGCGACCGAGCGCCACGTGCTGGTGTGCTTCACCGGGGGAGGGTGGCATGTCTACTTCGCCTGCGCAAGGCTGGCAAAGAGTCAGGCGCGGTGGGCGATCGTCGAGAACATCTCCCGCGCCTCGCTGTTTGCGACGGAGCGGGGTGGGGGCAGCAACCCGCGCTTCCGCCGTGACAGGGAGGGATTCCTGCAGCTTCCGTTCGGCTGTGAGTGGGTGGACGGGGACCTGTTGCATAGGCGGGTGGACGAAGCCCCTGATGTCGTCTGGAAATCGCGGGAGGATATCGCCTTGCTAGTGGATAACTTGGGCTACTTCCTGCGGGACACGCAGGGGAGGCATCGGGAGTGGCTGGGGGAGAAGGGTCCCATCGTCTCCGTCCTCCGAAGCGTGCGCCACATCCCCCATACACTGGATGTCAAGGAGAGATTGGATGGCCTTGTGCGGGAGGTGCGGGAGGGAAGGGTGAGGCTGTTGGGCCCGCTGTTCTCGTCGCTATCCCGCATCTCGCAGTTCGAGAACATGCAGGCGAGGAGGAGTTGCGTCGCCGACGCGGCTTGGCTCAAGGGTGCGGTGATGTACGCCTGCATCAGCCATGATTGCTTCGTGAGCGGCTACCACGTCGACCAGAACTGCGGCCAGATGCAGCAGATGCTCCGCGGCCCTCTCTCCGCCAAAGTGAGGGCCTCGGGGGGCTGCTTCCTGTCCTACCCCATCGGGAATCTGTCGGAAGTGCTCCAGGCGACCTATAGAGAGGCCGTCGTGCGCGTCACCGACCTGTCCGATACCTACGACATCGAGAAGCAGCCGGTGCTGAAGAAGGGCCTCGCCAGGTTCTACGCCTGGGCCAGGCTGATGCGCCGGAGTACGAATCGAGGAAGGGATGCCGAGGATAACGATTAAGGGCCTTTTATTCTAAGATTTAGAAAGGGTAGGTCTACCAAAGAGTCGAATATGACGCTGTCTAGTAAAAGAATTTCTCATTCTTGCTGTCATCCTCAAAGCGTTTGATCTCTTGTTGCATCCGTTTGCTGGTATCGTTGGCAAATAAATGATTGCCTGTAGCGTTGGCAAGGCGGGTGTGTTGGGCAAGCTGGACCTCGAGAATGTGAATGTGATTGTCAAAGAATTTGACCCTTATGTTGCACGGGATGCGGTCTTCGTAATTCATCTTGAAGTGCTCAGATTTCCACTCGTAGCGAAAGTGCAATTCGCCTTTGTCGTTCATCTTGGGTGTGAGCGGGACTTCGGTTCTCTTACGCTTGCCATAACCTCCCCAGGTATACCCTCCAATAGGAATGTTGTAAGTGAACATTGTCGTTTTCGGTGTCTGATGCTGTGTTTTCCGATTTAAATATGATTTGGAAAGAAAGATAGGAACGGGCAAGGTGGGCGGCGGGTTGCTGATTTTCTCCCAGGTATGTCGTGGAACAGCCTGGAGGAGTTCATCAGCTTCTTCATCGCTAGCCAGGAGTGCGCGCCGCTGCCAGTCCTGACGCTGCACGAGGAGAGCGGGGAGGATCGCGTGACGAACGGCTTCGATCTGCTGTTTGAGATGATCCGCCAGTCGATCTACAGCTCGGCGGCGTTCAGCGACGAGGAGAGGGATGCCATGAAGAGGAAGAAACTGGACCTACTACGAAGGCTCAGGGCTGCGCTGAAGGACATCGACACGGGTTGCTTCAAGCAAAATGGGATCAACGTGCTCTCGCACTGCTTGAATAAGGACAGTGTCTCCATCCTCAGGCTTCTTGTATTGTCCATGCTGAAGAGAACCGTCTACGCGAATTTCAAAATTCCCTTGAGTTATTTTTCACCAGAGGATGGGGACTTCACTCCTGCTATCAAGGCTGTCGCAAAACCCCTTATTGAGGGTGGGGAAGCAAAGACTTTCCTTAGACTCGAGTATAACCTCAACAACCTGTACATCACTCTGCAGCCTCTCGACTTCAAGGTCTTCCATATGTCTACCCTGGTCAATCGTGAGATGATCAAGGCCAGTGATGAGGTGTGGGAAAAAGCTCTTGAACTTCAGGGGGATGACAATGATGCAGTGGCTGATGCATCCACCGATAAGTCGAAGAGGCGACTGGGGAAGCCTGTAGCGGAAGGGAATGTCACGCTTTACAACTTTATCAAGGCGGCCCTCCCTAACCTTAGGTACGAAAAGAGACCGTCCGCCCCCTGCATGATGTGCATGATCGTCAACTCGATGATTTCCGTCAATGTTGACAATGTAAACAGACATCGCCAGGCATGGTGCTGCTGCAATCAGACGGACTTGGCTGTCTTGAGGTGTCCTTTCAAGGACACAACCATCAACTTCACCATCTGCACCCATTACATCACCCTTCTTCACACGGAGAAGTGCGATAACAACGGTGTTATTACCTGGTGGGAGAATGAGAACCTTCTTCAGACGCTTATCGAAGATTTCCTTCTTATGGACGGACCCGAATCCGACATGCTGTACGCAAGCAACAGCTTTGTCCCTGTCAGGGCTGAAATCACCGATTGTAACTGCAACCAACGGTGGATCAAGTTCAACCCCGAGAAACGGGCCAACAAGGAAGGAAAGCTCAAAAATCTTGTGGCTAGATCCAATCTGCTTCAGCCATTCGAGGAGAAGGACGGCGACAAGCACGGTGAGCTCAATAAGTTGTTCAACCAATACTTGGTGTCCTTATTGAAGAACCCGAAGGGCATGACCAGAAACCCCGTCATGGCCAACAAGAACAAGAACAAGGGAGGTCCAAGGCCGGAGGTGCAGGAGAAGGAGATCCGCTCCGAGCAAGATATCCCCAAGCCCCCCCGGAAGAAGCAGAGGAGGATCGATTTTTCTTCTGCTCTTGCTGTTGCTGCTTCTGCTGTTGCTGCTTCTGCTGTTGCTGCTTCTGCTTCTGCTTCTGCTTCTGCTGATCATGCTTCTGCTGATCATGCTGCTGCTATCGCTGAAGAGAAGAAGCGTGCCGATGAGGCACAGGCAGAAAACGCAAGGTTGAAAGCTATGCTTGACCAGCTCAAGGCTCAGATTGCCGCGTCTGCGGATGGACCTGTGTCTGGACCTGTGTCTGGACCTGTGTCTGGAGCTGTGGTTGAGGCTGATGCTGCTTCTGCTGCTGAGCCTGTGGCTGCTGAGCCTGTGGCTAATGCCGAGGCTGAGGCTAATGCCGAGGCTGAGGCTAGCCGTTCGTCTAGGAAGCGTAAGGCGGATCTTCGCGATGTGCCTAAGAATCCCAAGGAGTAAGTGGTTAGTTTAACCTACTGAAACCACATATAATTTCGACTTTGAATTTCGAATAAACTACTATATACAACTAATCTGATGTCACGGCCGGTAGCATAATTGACCGTTAAAAGGAAGAATGAGTGATTTTAAAGGGTTGTAGATCAATTCCTACGGCTTAGCTTGATTCCCATAGGGTTAGATTCAATGTGGGCCTCAAGGTTTTAAATCCCGAGTTGATCGGCTTACAAGCCGGCTGACTGAGTAGTCTGCACGTGGTCGGTAGAATAAGTGATTGAAAAAAGAGACAATGAGTGGTTTTAAAGGGTTGTAGATCAATTCCCACGGCTTAGCTTGATTCCCATAGGGTTAGATTCAATGTGGGCCTTAAGGTTTTAAATCCCGAGCCGATCGGCTTACAAGCCGGCTGACTGAGTAGTCTGCACGTGGTCGGTAGAATAAGTGATTGAAAAAAGAGACAATGAGTGGTTTTAAAGGGTTGTAGATCAATTCCTACGGCTTAGCTTGATTCCCATAGGGTTAGATTGGATGTGGGCCTTAAGGTTTTAAATCCCGAGTCGATCGGCTTACAGGCCGGCTGACTGAGTAGTCTGAACGCAGGTGGATGAATAAGTTATTGAAAAAAGGAAGAATGAGTGATTTTAAAGGGTTGTAGATCAATTCCTACGGCTTATCTTGATTCCCATAGGGTTAGATTGGATGTGGGCCTTAAGGTTTTAAATCCCGGAACTGCACCGGGTGGTCGCTTATTGCGGCAATGTCCGTTCTACCTTCTTGGTCAGCACATATAGTGTACTGGGGTAAATTTCGTCGTGGAACCCTGCAGACTCACAAGAGCCTAGCTCTAAGAAATATATATCGATGGTCCTGCTCTCGTGGGGGCAGTGCTGGTTGAAATTTCCTAGTGCATTGTTATAAAAAATCCACCCGAGCACTATACGACCATGTGCAAAGCTGACCAAAATTCGAATTTTTGGGTTTGTGGACTTGCATGGGGGGTGGGTACGGTCTCTGGAACCATCTGCGAGGTCTAGAACGGCCTCTGTCATCAAAAAACACGTAAGCCTCTGAAAAGTTCAGGCCATGACTAAGTGAGCCCGGCAAAAGTTCATGTATCGAAGACCGGCCCCGGGCACTATGGGGACCCCAGATGGGAGCTATACTATCGATTACAAGGCCCTAGAGCCAAGGTCTAAGATTTCTTGAAAAGTTCAGGAACGATCATGACCACCCCACCCCCTGCTCTGACCGCATGGGCATGGTAAAATAGGTGGTGTTGGGTGGTTGATGCGGCCAGTCGATGGGAGGCTGTAGGGAGGGGAGGGGAACGCTTAAAGCTCTTCCCCTGGGCCGTTTTCGATGCTTCTTGCATGTGTCCCGACTTACTTTGATGTCCTGGGATCGATTTTTGGGGTTAAATGTTGCGTTTCTGTGAGGATAACACATTTTTCTTATGATGCTCCCTATTTGACGGTTACATTGCATGCTCAGCCATTTTGTGATTTTTAACTTGCAGGGTGAAATGTCTTCGGAGCGCAAGACAAGGAGCACCAAGAGGGTCAATGAAGACAACTTCAAGCAAAATCTCGAGGCTGCAGGTGATTTCTTTGCGATTCACTGCTCTCGCTGCCCTATTTTTTTGAATTTGATATGAAAATGCATGCACTTTGGATGTGAAAATGCGTTTCTTGCGCTGAAACTTTGTGGCAGAGCCTGAGAAGAAGAAGCAATGCTATGGGCAAGCCCCAATCATCAAGAATTTGTCGGAGATTGTCAAGGTCTCGATGCTTGAGTCCGACAAGACCAAGCCTGAGGCCAAGCTTTCGTGCATGCATGGGGAGGCGGGTCAAGCGTGTAAGGAGGATTATGGGGCTTGTGCATCCAAGGATCTACTCCCTTTTATTGCCCATTACAAATGCTTCGATGTTTCGAAGAAGGAGAAATTTCCAAGCCCCGATTTCCTGCATTTCTGGGGAACCGCAGGCTGGTCGTTGCATGGATTTTCTGCTACAATGAAGGTCGGTGGGGTGATGGAGAAGGTCGATGCAGAGAACTCATCTTGTCAGAACCTTGTAAAGGCCTGCAAGTCACTGAGCTCTGTCAATCCCGATGAGATGAAAATCCAGCACATCCTCCGTGCGATGTTCTCGGTGGAGAGCCTGTGGTCCAAGATCCCTGTAGAGGACTACTGGAAGTTTCTAGCTGACCTGAGCACATCGCAAGAAGTCCTTGATACCGGGATGGATGATTTCGTCTTAATAGTCATGTGTAGTGCCCATGCCTACTTCATCCGGGAGTTTGATCGCAAGGACTTAAAGGATGACCATCTGAACATGTATCAATGGATGCATTGTACCTTACCAGAGCTCATTTGCAAGGGGTTTAAGAATTGCAATGATCTCTACAATTCCTACATAAAGTGGATTTCGAAGAATTTTGACATTGTCGATGCAAAATCTATAGACATGTTGGGTTACATCAAGGTGATCGTCAATTACTATTGCTTCAGCTTCCTTCGATACTCGGACAAGTTCACCCGTGAATATATGAAGACAGTGGCTCCCAAGGGCATGAACGTCGATATTGTAGATAGTGCATGCCTTGTGATGAGGAATGTTCAATGCAAAATATAAATTTTAACGGTTTTCAACGGTTTAACGGTTTAACGGTTTTCAGATTCTGGCCAAGGGGGGGGGCCTTCCCTGGGGGCCTGGGCTCTATTAGTAATTATAACATTAGTCAATTTAGTACAACAGAGCACCCCACCCCTGAATGTCAGTCTCTGTAGGGGTACTGGCTAAATCAGACCTGTACCCACTGCATGCTGCCCATCACAGGGTGATCATCACTATATAAAACGGTGAGTGAGTGTGTGTGTGTGTGTGTGTGTGTGGAGAGAGAGAGATGGATTACGCGGAGTGCAAGAGGCGAGTGAAGAACATAGATTCATATCTTGATGAGATCATTCGCCTTCAGAATCGTATCCTCACTATTCAAGACACTCAGATCAAAAACATGGACAGGAAGGCAAGGAAGGAGTTCATCAACAATATCTCACTGCTGGAGGGGATAGATTTTTATGCATCGAGCATCGATGAGAGGGCGAGATTGATTTACAACATTTCCGGACAGGTAGAAGATCTGTCTACACAACAACTCATTGAAAAGTATGGACCATTGGTGCAAAATACAACCATCAACAGAACCATAAGCTATTTGAGCACCATACTTAAAGATTACTATGAATCACTCCATAATAATGGGTCTCTCAAGGATATATTGGGTAAAGCCAGAGATGATCTACAGCGCAAATTGAATATATTGGAGACATACATTCAATTATTGTCAAGTTTCACGTTTAATCATGCAAGTCATGGAGATCATGAAAGTAGCCTGGGTAATCTGCGAGCAAAATCCAATAAGGAGACGGGGTACAGGGTCTATTACTTGAAAGCTGCACATAAGATTGTGAAAGAAATTGAATCAATAATGGAACAAAGATATAATATGCAGTTTAAGCATGGTGAAAATTTTATTGATGAACGTAATGAGCATCCAGATGATTTTATACGCTTTATATTCATATTTCTTAACGATGCAAGGAAGAAGTTTATCAACAATTCGTCACTGCTGCAGGGGATCGATTTATATCGATTGAACATCGACGAGAGGGCGAAATTGATTTACAACATTTCCGGATCCTTACAAGATCAGATTGCACAACAAATCATTGATCAGTACAAATCATTTGTTAATGACTCTTCCATGAACAAAACCATAACCTACTTGAGTATTATTCTTGAAGAGTACTATCAGATACTTGATGACAATGGGAAAATTAGTGATATGTTTGATGAAGAAAATATTTTACGGAAAGAATTGGATCAGTTGAAGTTATACATTCAACACTTGTCAAGTTTTACTTTTGAACATTTGGATGCTGTAAAATTCAAATCTAGCCTTGTGCATCTCCAGATAATGTCCGACACTAAAACAGGGTACAGGGTGTATTACTTGAAAGCTGCACATGATGTTGTGAAGAAAATTGAAACAATAATGGAACAAATATATAACATTCAATCTAAACATGGCGACAATTTTTTCGATGGACTTCTTAGTAATCGAAATAATCATATACACTTCATATTCGTATTTAATTAACTCAACTGTTATTGATGATGGATCATGGAAGTCAGAGATACTAGATTGAAGGACAGCAAGCTACCCCCCAACCTGGGTGTGTTCGTCAAGAGCGATGGCCTGGACCTCCTCTGCAATGTCGAGGAGGCGGTGACCAAGGCCGAAGACAAACATTGCTTGTTCCATTACAGTCTCGGGCCGCTGGGTTGCGTGACTTCCAAAAAACAACCCGAGGGGGAGTTGACAGACACCCGGTAGTTGAAGCTCTGCTGGATACCGTCGGCGCGTGTGTAGGTTGTGCTGTTCTTGATGAGCTCGATGGAGAGAGCGAGGGAGCGGATTCGCTTCTCCTTCTCCTCTTGCTCCATCACCATGCTGTGTGGGGAGTGAAGCCCGCCCCTAGATTTTTTTTTCCTGTTTTTTTTTATTTTTTTTAATACCAAAAAAAAAGGTTTTCCCTCCAAGTAGCCCGTCCCGCCACCGCCCGTCCAAGACTATTCCCGCCACGCGAGAGCAGCATGCCGATTAACAAGAGCAACCGCCCCGAGTCCGATGCCTCCATGGAGGTTGAGGATGTTGTAGAAGCTACCCCCGGAAGCTATGCAGGAGGCCACCGTCAACACGGAGCTCCTGGTCCCCGAGCCGCTCCTGCACCCCAGCAACCTGTGGCTGGAGGGGCTGGCGCTCCCCTCCCCGGAGGACCGCCACGAGAACCTCCCCACGGTGATCGCGATGGTGGTGGACCCGGTGTACTGCCGCCTGGGGGTGTTCAACCAGGAGAAGATGATCAGGCAGGGTTCGGGCAAGGAGCTCAGGTCGCTGGCGAGCCACTTTGTGGTGCTGGCGCCCTTCTCCGCGGGCTGGGGCAAGGCGCCGCTGGAGGACAAGCCGCTCAAGAACGCCGAGTTCCTGAGCGAGATCCACGTCGATGCGGACGGGAGGCGCGGCCTGATGATCTACTCCTTCGACAAGCACGAGAGCAACCAGCAGTACAAGGGCGCCGTGAGGAAGGACCTCGCTACCCTGGTCCAGGCGGGCTGCACTCTGCGGCTCTCGACGACGGCGAAGACCTTCGACTTCGAGAAGCAGAACAAGAAGGCCGGGCAGAGGGCGCTGTTTCCGGATGTGGAGACCATCCCGCCCTTCACGCTCGTCAAGCTCTTCCTGAAGCCGAACAATGCCACGAAGGTCGACACCCCGGGGGACGTCGTCTCGATCAAGTGCATCGAGATCATCCCGCTCACGCTGTACTCCTTCGTGCCCGCTATGGGCGGCTTCCCCGCCACCTTTGAGGAGCAGAAGACCATCACGGAGGTGTGCAAGACCTACGCCCCCGAGGGCTGCCGCCCCTGCTCCAACTACCTCTTCAGCAACGGCGGGGAGGTGATGCTGCTGAGGAGCGTCTCCAGCCTCCTCCGGGCCTCCGTCGATGAGGACGGCGCCGGCGTCACGATCTCGAACGCCTGCCTCGACTTCGAGATGGGCAAGTCCATGGTCGATGAGGTGCGCATCGACGGCCCCACGCTGATGCGGTATACGAACTGCTCCACCGTGAAGCGCGCGTGCCAGCTGCTCGAGGTCGCCGCGAGCTGCGGGTGCCTTCAGCTGATGGTCGCCAAATCCTGGGTCGCCAGGGAGACCGAGGATGGCCCCGGGAAGAACCAGCTCGTCTTCCGCGCCGCCCCCGTCATCGACTTCCTCCGCCTGCTCGGCATCGACGTCTCCGCCGGCACGGACGACGACGTGCTCCGCTTCCTCCTCCACGCCCCCCAGACCCGGGACAGCACCGTCGTGATCCGCAAGGACGGCAACGCCAAGATCAGCTTCGACGCGGCGCGGCGCTGCCTCGTCCACGAGACCCACCGCTTCTTCAACTTCGAGGAGGAAGGCAAGGAGCTCAAGCGGGAGATCATCGTCCGGCTCGACCTCCGCGTGCTGTCGGACCCTTCCAAGGGGCTCCCGGTGGACCCGTCGGTGTCCATGGACTGGCAGCCCTACCACGCGTCCTACCCCGTCCCCAAGTGCTGCCGCGTCCACATCGACCTCGGCCCCAAGCTCAACCCGGAGGGCTACGCCGTGGACATCGACATGCAGCCCGTCCCCAACTACCTCTGCATGCAGCTCAACCTCTCCTCCTCTCGCCCCCCCTCCGTCCCCGGGATGGGGAACGCCGCTCAGGAGGCCAAGACCTGCCGCAAGAGGGCCGCGCCCAGCGTGGAGGACGCCGACTCGTTCTGAGTTTCTAAGTCTTTCTAAACTAGCATGATAGTAAAATTCGTAACGTTTATGATGATAATATGATATGGGAATCTACATGTAGAGGTTGCGGGCCGCCGAGTTCAGCGCGCCCGAGATGTCGTCTTCCTCCGAAAGCTCCGAGTCCGAGTCCATGCCGCCGTTGAACTGCGACGCTCCCGTCACCATGCCTTGTGGGTTGGTGTTCGTGGTGTTGGTATCATTCTCCTTCTCCTCCTTCATCTGCCTCAGGCGGGGGGTCAGCTGGTTTTTCGTCTTCAAAACGTGTGTTTGCGCGATCCAGAGGTCCAGGTTGTAACGAGCCGGCATGTCTTTCCTCTTGTCCCACATGTCGACGAGTTTCAGATCATCCTGGGTTGGATTCTCTGGCTTCTTGTATGATTTTGTCATCCAGTTTTCAATCTTGGAATTTGGGAGCTTGGCGACATCCTTGGCCTCTTGCATCATCTTTTCGTCGTAGGCCTTGCGGTTGTTCCACATCTCCTTCTGCTCCTCAGTAATGCCCTTCTTATTGAGCTGTACCTCCGCGTTGTTCCGCATGATCAGGAATTTGACGTACTTCTCGTCGGCGTTGTGGTTATTGATGTTCTGCATCCGGAGGAAGAGATAGTCACCGTTGTTCATGCGCTTGATGGCACTGTCCTGGGACATGTCGAAATGGTAGACTGGTTTGTCATCCAGCTCTGATGTTATCACGCTACCGTCATTCTTGAATAGGATCTTGCTGTGTTTGAGCATCGCTCTGGCCTTAGCAGCCTTGAATGTCTGGTGGTGTTGGTTCTCCTTGTTCCATCCTCCAGTTCTGATTTCACCGTTCTGCATCGCGTAGATAACCATGTGGTCTGTCACTGCCCGGCTCTGCGGGTCCCTGTTTCACAGGCTTTAAATATGGGCCAAATGGATGGGCATGTCAATCCCGGTACACCCTGCACTACTTGCGATTTCGGCGTGTCTTCCTGCCTTTCTTTTTGTTGCCATTATTGTTCTGGGCAGGTTGGTTATTGCCCTTCTTGTTCTGGCCCGGTTTCTTCTTGCCCTGTTGCTTTGTGCTTGGCAGGATGACGTTCCTAGCTTTGGCCATTTGTTGTAATTCTGTCTCACCGACTGTGACACCCACACCGGGTGTCTTCTGGCCCTTGTTTTTCTTCTTATGAGCATTCTGTGTTCTCTTGGCGTTCATAGCCATGGTACGTGCAATAGCTAGCTCTGGGGGTAGCTTCCTTGAGATGGGGCTTTCAAAGAGCTCGAGAGCCTTGATCTGCTTGATGATATCATCCCTTTTTTTCTCCCTCTTTTCTCTTTCATTTTTTTGGTAAACGGTTTCCTCGAGATTCACATTTTGATTTTGAATGGTCGATTTCAGAGTTCTGATGCGGTTTTTGATGACTTTTTCGTTAATTTTGATGATCTCAGCCGTCTTCTTCAAGGCAGTTTCGGTTGTATCGAGCTTCTCAGCCGGCATAGAGGTTATCTTCATACCAAAATACATCTGGGTGCCGATGCATGTCGCATCAAACATGGAATCGCCGTGTGTTGCCATTGGTATGTCACTCTCGTTTCCAGCTGCCTGAGCACCATCGCCGCCAGCCCTCAGTGCTTTGATCCTTTCGATCGTCTTTTCGATGTTCTTCAACGTGATGGCGAGGTTTACGTCGCTTTTGGTCAGTGCGATGAGTAAATCATCGAGATTCGTTTCCTTGTGGACCTTGCCGTAGTATATACTTGGTCCACTTGTTTGCATCGTACTAATGATTGACGGTTTTCCCGGATTTACCGTCATTAGAGGTCCATAATCTGTATATCCTTCACGGGGTGTAGTAGTGGGGGCGTAACCTGAATTGTTAACTACCAAGTTTGTTAGAGAACTTGTTATCTCTTTTCTGTGTTTCTCGATCAAAGTTTCCAACGAAATCATTTTTTCCCTCATCACATCTGGTGATGGGTTATTCATAATTTCGTTCCTTAGACGGTTCACAGACTCCTTGAATGATCTATTGTTGTCCTTCTTTTCTTTAACCTTATTCTCAAGATTGGTCACGATTTGAGCATTCAGCCTTACAAGATCACTGTATGAGATCAGGTCGATCTTCTGACCGTCGTTGTACAGGTACATCGTACAACCGTGCCCTTCCCGACGCGTGTGCAATGATCTTTAAATATGCGGCAGGGTGCATCGACACCGTGCAGCAAGTCCTTTTAGGCTCAATCCACGGAGGTCGCTGGGTGAGGGGACGAAGGGGGAGGGGAGGGAATGAAGCAGGTCGACCTGACCCGCAACCAGCTGGTGGTGGCGGGCAAGGCCTGGGAGCATGAGCGGAGCCCGTGCTGCCGTGACATGATCCGGCATCTGGTGAGGAGGGAGTGCTACTGCAGCTGGTTCCAGCCGTCGGGCGGGGGGCTGCAGGACCAGTTCCAGGCGATCCGGATGGGGGAGGGCTACTACACCCTGAGCCTCAGGATCCAGAAGGCCATGTTCCGGCACGTCCGCCTGACGAAGGGCTTCCGCAACGTCGAGCGCCTCCCCGACGGGAGGCTGAAGCTCCGCATCCCCACGCAGCTCCTCGTGGAGAAGAAGCGCACTGCAACGCGGTTTACCGTGAGTCGTTGGGAGGGGTGTATTTAGAATCTGCGCGGGTGACGATGAGCTACAGGTGATGCGCTCCAAGTCGGGCGCGCCCTGTGGGGTCGGGAAGCCGTCCTACTCCAAGCGCGTCAGGCTGGAGCGCAAGGCCGAGGCCTCCGACCTCATCGACCTCACCGACATCATCAACGGCATCCTCGGCCCCGCTGCTGCCGACTCCCGGCCTAGCTATACTGCCTTTTTTTTATCTGAAGCCGAGACCGCCGAGCACGTCGTCCAGCACCTCTTCCGCGAGTGCCCCACCCTCACCCGCGACCGGATGGAGTTCGTCAGGTCCATGACGCGGTTGTATGATAAGATCGTTCAAAACTAATTTTACTTATTCAACAAGCCTAGTGCATAGCGTATCTGTCCAGCATCGAGGAGCTCAGCCTCCCATCCCCGCCGTAGACCGGGACACGGATGCCGATGGTGTCGTAGGGGCATGGCTGGAAGGGGCTGCGCATGTACTTCTTTGAATTTTTTAAGTCTTGAATAGCCCTCTCCGCCTCTCGTCTGGCGTTATGCTTCGCAAGATTTGCTTCGGTCTCTTCCTGCCTTTGTTTAGTTAGTGCTTTAATCTCCTCCGTACTCATGTTTCGAAGTCCGTGTGGGTCCTTGTGGATCAGGTTGTTCGCATGTTTGGTGGCTTTCTTAATTCCACCCACCACTGCACTCCCAGCATTTCTTATCTTATCCATCCATTTCCCACTCATGCACGGCAGGTGGTGGATCAGCGCGGGGTCGGCGGCGATGACGCCCTTCATCGCCTGCCACAGGCCGTCGCGGAGGTGGGCGTTCATGTCATCGAGGACATCCGGGTCCTGCATGATCGTGAGCTTCAGGTGGGTGAGGTCCGCGGGGGAGACGGTCCTGCAGCCACGGATGGAGGCACCGAAGTGATTGCTTGCAGTGGCTGCAGCAGGCTGGTTTTCCTCCGATTCTTCCTCGGAAGTTTCATCTCCTTCCTTCGTCTTCTTCTTAAGTTTTTCCCTTATATAATCGGCGGCTTTCGTCGCCTTATCCTTTGCATAATCGTAAGCTGCCTTCCCTTTCTTCTTTAACCAATCCACCAATCCCGCCAGCGTATGCCTATCCAACCTATCCAGGATGTCGGGATTCGCGGAGATGAACTCCTTGACGTCCTCCCAAAGCTGCCCCTGCAGGTGGTCGTCGATGAGGTCGAGGACCTCCGGGTTGGACGAGATAGAGCTCATGAGCTCGAGATGGGAGTCAAGGGTAGGAAGGGTAGAATGACAGCGGTAGCGTTCATGGAACGGTTGATAGAAGTACCCAGGTTGCGGTGCCAGCAGGGCCATGGCGGTCGGGCGGGCACTTCTGCGCAGGGGGGCGAGGCAAGTCCTTAAATGGTACGATCGGGTGTTGCGGAATTCCATCTTTCTCTTACATTCATTAAACAAACTTTCGCATTCTACACCAACCCCTGGTACGCAAAGATGTCCTTCTTGACCCACTCCGTCACACTTAGGGTGATCACGAGGGTGAAGACGAGCAGGAGCACAGCCGTCTGCTTCATCGCCGTGACCGTGTGGATGTTGAGCGCTGCCCTGTCATTGATGAAATCGGGGAGCATGTACACGGCAAACAGCCCGAACACAAAGTACAGCCAGTTGTAGAAGAGGATGTAGCTGTAGGCCGTGATGCTCTCCGTGGGCACTGCCGTGAAGATGAGCGCGACGAGGATGAAGAGCTGCACGTACGTCACCATGTCCTTGTACCCCTGGTAGTGGTCGTACACGGCGGATCCCTTCATGCCCAGGTCGCCAGAGAGCCTCAAGGACCGCGTCCAGAACGACGTCATCCAATCGTTCGACATGCTCACGACAGTGAAGAAACCGACGAGCACGGCGTAGTAGTACAGGATGCCGTTGTCGGTCCACTGGCGCGTCAGCACCGTCCCGATCGAGAGCGCGACCATCGCCGGGACCAGCATCACGTCCAGCCAGAGCTGCTCGAGCTGCGCCTGCGAGTTCAGCGAGTCCGAGACCTTGTAGACCGTGGCGTCATTGGCATCCCTGTACGCAATGGTGTAACTGTCATGCTCGCCGTTCACCATCATCTGCAGGGCATCGACGATGTGGGTCTTGCTGCTCTGGTAGAAGTACGGAATGACGAGGACAAACAGGATGACCAGGAACACAGACATCAGGGACAGCGTGGTCACCGGGTCGAAGTTGCAGATGTCCTGGTCGCAGGAGTTCTTGATGCCCAGGAAGAGGCCCGTGAAGACGATCACCACGATAAAGGTGAGGACGAAGTATAAGACGAGTTTCCGGAGCAAGGACTTGGATTCGTCAAGGGCTGTCTTGGGATCAACGTTATTTTTAATCATTGTCTTGATCGTCTCCGAGTTGCTGCTGTGCAGGAAGTTGGCCATGACGATGGCTGAGGTGGCGACGAACATGAAATAGTAGAAATAGTAGAGGGGTCGGTACGCCGTCTTCACAACGTCGTACTGGTATGGCATGTCGCCCTCGTAGGCGCAGAAGTGGATCATGTCCTTCACCTCAGATAGGGTCGGCGATGTGGTCTGCGTCGACACCCAGGTGTTGCCCAGGGCGTGGGCCACCTGCGCGATGCAGTTGCAGCCACCCGGGACCCACACGGAGTTGTTGACCGAGACACCCGCCAGGGTGTAAGGGTCGTGCTGGTGCGGGACGTGCTTGTCGGTGATGTACTGGTCGCACTTGGCCCAGTGCCACAGGGCCTGCACTCGCGACGAGGAGGTGGAGCCGGTGGTGATGGCCTTGAGTGCATCCTCCAGCCCCCCGTACTCGTTCCAGGGGCGCAGGGTGTGCGTGACGATGCTGGTCGGGAACTCGCGGGTCTTAAAGTCCAAAATAAGAGAGGTGATGGCGAGGGCGACGGTGGCAGCGAATAGGAGCGCGGCGATGTACCCATTCACGATCTTCCAGCTGTGGTTTATCGCAAACACGTGGACGATCGCGTTCTTGTCGTCTTCATCGGCCTTGTTCGAGGTATTGTAAGGTGAATAGGGGATCTGCGATATGGCGTCCCGGGATAGGTGGGCTTCTTCACCACCACCATGCGTGCCCCGTTTCTCGCGCCCCGCAATGTCTTCTTTAATGCTGACATGTCACGGGCCTGCTGACACGGTCCGCTGACCGGTCACGGCCGCCCGGAGAGATCAGGCCCCCGGCCAATCTCCGGACACTTAGCCTCCTGGCGGGCCTCCAGGGGGTCTGAGGCGGGGCTGAAGGCTGCAGTCGGTCTACTGACCGGCCCGGCCGGCAGGATCCGTCGAGAAACAGGGGGGTCAAGGGAGGTTTTCTTCCCCCTGGGAGAAATGTCCTATGGGTTTTTGGATCTGCGATATAAAAAAGTCTTGTCTCGGTCACGTGATGTGTCACGTGACCGGTCAGGTGAGCCTGTCAGCCGGGTCACGGCCCCTGTCAGCCGGCTGACATGTCACGGGCCTGCTGACACGGTCCGCTGACCGGTCACGGCCGCCCGGAGAGATCAGGCCCCCGGCCAATCTCCGGACACTTAGCCTCCTGGCGGGCCTCCAGGGGGTCTGAGGCGGGGCTGAAGGCTGCAGTCGGTCTACTGACGGGCCCGGCCGGCAGGATCCGTCGAGAAACAGGGGGGTCAAGGGAGGTTTTCTTCCCCTGGGAGAAATGTCCTATGGGTTTTTGGATCTGCGATATAAAAAAGTCTTGTCTCGGTCACGTGATGTGTCACGTGACCGGTCAGGTGAGCCTGTCAGCCGGGTCACGGCCCCTGTCAGCCGGCTGACATGTCACGGGCCTGCTGACACGGTCCGCTGACCGGTCACGGCCGCCCGGAGAGATCAGGCCCCCGGCCAATCTCCGGACACTTAGCCTCCTGGCGGGCCTCCAGGGGGTCTGAGGCGGGGCTGAAGGCTGCAGTCGGTCTACTGACGGGCCCGGCCGGCAGGATCCGTCGAGAAACAGGGGGGTCAAGGGAGGTTTTCTTCCCCCTGGGAGAAATGTCCTATGGGTTTTTGGATCTGCGATATAAAAAAGTCTTGTCTCGGTCACGTGATGTGTCACGTGACCGGTCAGGTGAGCCTGTCAGCCGGGTCACGGCCCCTGTCAGCCGGCTGACATGTCACGGGCCTGCTGACACGGTCCGCTGACCGGTCACGGCCGCCCGGAGAGATCAGGCCCCCGGCCAATCTCCGGACACTTAGCCTCCTGGCGGGCCTCCAGGGGGTCTGAGGCGGGGCTGAAGGCTGCAGTCGGTCTACTGACGGGCCCGGCCGGCAGGATCCGTCGAGAAACAGGGGGGTCAAGGGAGGTTTTCTTCCCCCTGGGAGAAATGTCCTATGGGTTTTTGGATGTGCGATATAAAAAAGTCTTGTCTCGGTCACGTGATGTGTCACGTGACCGGTCAGGTGAGCCTGTCAGCCGGGTCACGGCCCCTGTCAGCCGGCTGACATGTCACGGGCCTGCTGACACGGTCCGCTGACCGGTCACGGCCGCCCGGAGAGATCAGGCCCCCGGCCAATCTCCGGACACTTAGCCTCCCCTCCAGACCCCTTCCAGTGACCTTGTGAGGACGAGGCGGGCTCGGTCGGGGTCCAGATAGACAGATCTGAGAGCCTGCAGGGTCCTCCGCGTGATATATATGCTGAGGCGGGCCCGGTCGCGGGACTTAGCGTAGAAAAACGGCGTTTTTCCCCAGACAAACTCCCCTCCAGACCCCTTCCAGCGACCTTGTGAGGACGAGGCGGGCTCGGTCGGGGTCCAGATAGACAGATCTGAGAGCCTGCAGGGTCCTCCGCGTGATATATATGCTGAGGCGGGCCCGGTCGCGGGACTTAGCGTAGAAAAACGGCGTTTTTCCCCAGACAAACTCCCCTCCAGACCCCTTCCAGCGACCTTGTGAGGACGAGGCGGGCTCGGTCGGGGTCCAGATAGACAGATCTGAGAGCCTGCAGGGTCCTCCGCGTGATATATATGCTGAGGCGGGCCCGGTCGCGGGACTTAGCGTAGAAAAACGGCGTTTTCCCCCAGACAAACTCCCCTCCAGACCCCTTCCAGCGACCTTGTGAGGACGAGGCGGGCTCGGTCGGGGTCCAGATAGACAGATCTGAGAGCCTGCAGGGTCCTCCGCGTGATATATATGCTGAGGCGGGCCCGGTCGCGGGACTTAGCGTAGAAAAACGGCGTTTTTCCCCAGACAAACTCCCCTCCAGACCCCTTCCAGCGACCTTGTGAGGACGAGGCGGGCTCGGTCGGGGTCCAGATAGACAGATCTGAGAGCCTGCAGGGTCCTCCGCGTGATATATATGCTGAGGCGGGCCCGGTCGCGGGACTTAGCGTAGAAAAACGGCGTTTTCCCCCAGACAAACTCCCCTCCAGACCCCTTCCAGCGACCTTGTGAGGACGAGGCGGGCTCGGTCGGGGTCCAGATACCTTTGGCACGGGTCTCGTCACCCCACTCTCGCATGTGCAGGCTGTGCCATTCCACATCTACTCCTCCAGTCCAGTGGTGACTACGGTGAACGGCACGATCTACGCAGTGGACCAGTCTGCATCGGCCGTTTTGCAACAACTATCGATTATTGCGGGTGTGGCGCAGCAGGCGGTTTCGACCACGTACGACAGCGTGAGTGCGATGCTGGTCTGGCAGTCCACGATCTATGCCTTCGAATATGCGGGGAGGCTACTGACAGCAACAGACCTGGGAACAGGAACCAAGGTCACCGTGGCGGGTAGCTCATCGAATGGGGCCACCACCGATGGGACGGGAACATCAGCAGCCTTCGACGCAGTCACTTCTATGGACATCAACGGGGATGGGGCTGTCATCGTCGCGATACAATCCTCGCAGTCCGTCCTCCGGATCGTGACACTCTCCACCAAGACAGTCAAGACGTACTCACTGACCTTCACGCCGTTGTTTGCCTCAGCCGTCGGCTCGGGCGACTTCGCCTGGGTCCTGTCTTCTACGGACCTCTACCTTGTGAAGCTTACGAGCTCTAGCTCCAAAGCAGTAGAGTACCCAATGACACCAGAATACCAGGGGTCTCGGTACACCTTTTCCTCGCCCATCGGCATGATGCTGCTCGACACTGAGGTGAAGGTGATCGTGGTGCAGGCAGATGGGACCTTGCTCAACATCGACACACTTTCGAAGCAGGCCGACCTTCTTCAAACATTCTCTGCAACCAGCTACATGGCAGTGGACACTAGCAAGACGTACGTGCTGCTCTACTCTGTGGGTGCCGCCTCGCAGGTCGCCTTCCAGTCCTACTTCATCAGTGTTTGTACCCCGTGCCCGGCGGGATTCGCCGCTCAGCCAAATTCGCGGTACTCCTCGGACTGTAGCCCGGTCTCCTGCCAAACCCCGTTTACGTACCCAATTATGGACGTAGTCCAGTCCTTCCCGATAGTGGACGACGCGAGCAAGCAGGTAATTGGTTACAACTACTACTTTCAGGATTGCCTGTGCAATCCGGGGTACGTTGGCAGCGACAACACATCTTGCGTCGCTTGCCCGGCTAACACATACAGCCTGGGTAACGCTGCGACGATAGCCGACATATCACAGTGCATACCCTGCCCTTCAGGAACATACTCGGGCGTGGCCAGCCCGGGTGTCGCGTCGTGCATCTCAGCGTACTGCAAGGTATCCGGGGCTGTATCGGGCTCGGAGATCATCGTCGATATATCCACAGGTAGGGTGTTTTTGTCATGCACCTGTCCGCCAGGCTACATCGGCCACCCAGACTCGGGGGAGGCCTGTAACCCTTGTCCCGCCGGGACGTATGCAGATTCCGTGGCGGATGCGTGCATGCCTTGCGCCTCGGACAGCTCTTCTTTACCGGCCAGCACTAGCTGCAGCTGCAATCTGCACTACATACCTTACTCTGTCTCACCCCTGTCGAGCGTCTTCCCAGTGATTAGCACGGGCGTTGTTCTTGGGGACACGGCCGACCGCTGCGTGCTGACCAACAATACCGTTCTGGGTTCCCACTACGTCTGCAACGACCTTTGCGTGCTAAGATCACAGACTCCCTGCCCCGGAGACTATGAGTACCTGCCGTTCTTAGGTGCGCTGGCCTGCGCGTGTGTGGAGGGGTACACGAGGGTGAACGGGACGTGCGTGCAGAGCGTTGTCCCGTGCCCTGTCGGGTATGATACCGTTCAGCTCAATCAGTCCTACTTTTACTGCCGTTGTCCCGTCAACACTTCTACGCATGTGACGCGGCAGAAATGCACGCAGTCCACCACTTTCCTCGAGCCCTGCCCGCGCGCACTGGTCAGCGGGCCGGGGTACGGCAACCTCGCCCAATGCGAATGCAGTGACGGCTACGTCATCTCCAATGACATTTGCGTCCCCTGCTTGGCGGGAACGTACCAGCTCGGTAACAGCTGCGAGCAGTGCGGGTCGGGGCAGTTCTCCATCAATGCTTCGACCTTCTGCTTCTGCTCTGCGGGATACGAGTTGATCAACGGGAACTGCTCGCTTTGTCCTGTCGGGTACTACAAGCCGATCTACCCACCCACTCTCTGCCTCAGGTGTCCCAACGGTACGACCTCGCAGGGCCTCGGATCCACGTCCGTAAACGACTGCGTGTGCCGACAGGGCTACTACCAGATGTATGGGGAGTGCATGGCCTGTCCGAGCGGAAATACCAGAACGTGACCGCTGGGCCTTGCATTTCTTGCCCCTACAACTCGTACAGCCTGCCCGCATCTTCGTCGATCTACGACTGCGCTTGTTTCAAAGGCTTCCTGAACGGGCTGAAGATATGCTCGGTTTGCAGCAGCGGGTATTACTATGACGGTGTCTCATGCGCGGCGTGCCCCATGGGGACCAGCAGCCTGCCACAGAGCTCGGGGGTCACCTCGTGTTACTGTGCCAAGGGCTACACCGGGACGAATGGGATGGACTGCCAACCCTGCAGCCCGGGCTACTACAAGGACATCGATGGGTCCGCTGCCTGCACACTCTGTCCGGCCCACTCCCAGACCGTAGTGCCCGGTGCGGCGGACGTATCACAGTGCTTCTGCGATGCCGGCTACGGGGGGACAGGTTCTAACCTGTGCGTGCCCGGCGTGCCCTGAGCAGAGCTACAAGTCGGAGGTCGCATCGACCGCATGCACTCCATGCCCGGACCATTCGAGCAGCACGCAGGTGGGAAGCACATCGTACTCATCCTGTGTATGCAATGTGGCTTACACCACCAGAAAGGGCGTTGCGTACCTAGTCCTATGGGTACGTACGGGAAGGGCTGCCAGGCGTGCCCGACTCACAGCAGCACGCTTCTCACTGGGACTCTCAGCATTGAAGGCTGCCTCTGCAACCCGGGGTATCAGCCCGACGCCAACCTGACGACCTGCGTGCCTTGCCCGCTGGATACCTACAAGGGGTTTGTAGGAAATGCGACCTGTCAATCCTGTCCTCAGTTATCCGTCACCGCTGCGGTAGGGACGAGCTCCGTCATTGGCTGCCTCTGCAATGTCTCCACTTATTCGACCACCGGCTCCGTCCCTTGCTTCTCATGCCCGTCCAACACCTACGCGGACGGGTTCGGCACGGTCAACTGCACCTCTTGCCCGCCCTTCACTGTCGGCCCCAACGGGAGCGCATCTGTCGTAAACTGTGTGGCCCAGCCAGGGTACTACATGTCCAATGTATCGATAGGGAGACGACTGCTGACGACCAACGGGCAGTACTATATCGTCCAATGCCCGGAGAGCACTTACACGGATGTGGAAGGTCTGTTTGTGTGCATAAAGTGTCCGAAGCTGATGACCTCGCCACTCGCTTCCAACAGCATCGCAAAGTGCTATTGCCCTGCCGGGTACTACGGGGCAAACGGGGGAATATGTGTTCCCTGCGACGCCAACACCTTCACCGACCGCGCGGGGTCGTACAGCTGCCTGCGCTGCCCGTTCAACTATGTCTCAGACATCCTCGGGTCGACGAGCATCAACAACTGCACCTGCCCCCCGGGTTACTACGAGAACAATGGCGCCTCGCCCATCATTGTGTATGGACGCCCCTTGAAAACGATATGCAAGGCTTGTCCGCTGGGTACCTACAAGTCTAACCCAGGATCGGAGACGTGCACCCCCTGCCCTTCGTACAAGTCCACCCGGCAGGCAGGGAGCGTTTCCCTGGCGAACTGCACCTGCGCGTCGGGGTACTACGACACTGGGAACAGGACGTGTGTCGTGTGCCCACCTTCCACACTTTCGTACCTGAACCTGTATGGATCATGTTCTCTCTGTCCCACCAATATGATCAAGCTAGTCAATTCCACAACACAACAAGAGTATTGTGCCTGTGACCTCGGCTATGAGTATGTCAACGGGAAATGCACCGCCTGCCGACCTGGGTTCTACAAGGAAATATACGGAGAATCTTCCTGCAAGGCCTGTGCCATAGGAGCGACCAGTCTTACCGCGGCGACGTCACCCTCTCAATGCGTCTGTGAGGGCAACCTGTTCATCAAGGATGGGATCTGCACCGTATGCCCTGGCACGCCTGTCTCTTGTCCTCTGAACCGAACCTCTCTCCCGGGGGCGGCGACCATCCACCAATGTGTCTGCAAGGCGGGTCTCAAGGACACACCCGATGGGAAGTGCATCCCGTGTGACGGCCAGCTCCATAACTGTCCCTCTGGTCTGACATCACTCCAGACGGCATCGAAGATCCAGGATTGTTTCTGCAGGGATAACTTCTATACGACGGGTCTTAATGCCGCGAAGGGGATACCGATTTGCCAGCCTTGCCCCGGAAACACAAAGTCCGTGGCCAACAGTACGTTCTGTGTATGTGCAACGGGGATATTCTACGGAAACCTGAGCACTTGCATCTTCTGTGGCCCTGGATTCAGCTTCGACAGGGTGACGGAGACCTGTCACGACATCAATGAGTGCCTAAACCTAGCGCTGTGTCCAGCGAACTCCACCTGTATCAACACCTACGGATCGTACAAGTGCACGTGCCCCGCCAACTTCTACGACACGCCGCTCGGATGCGCCCCCTGTCCCACTGGCATGATGTCCGCGATAGGGTCTACGAACTTCACCGACTGTTACTGCCCTGCTGGATACTCCCCCGACGCTTCGTATCAGACCTGCCAATCCTGCGCTTCCGGGACGTACTACAGCGAGCGTTACAAGGCCTGCCTTCGCTGTCCCATAGACTCCACCTCTTCAGCTGATTCAACAACTTGCACCTGCAATAGCGGGTTTGTCGGTTTCTCTACACTCTCTGTGACATCCGGTTTGATTCAGATCGATGCATCCGTTTGCAGCCTGGCTGTCACTGACACGTCAGGGCTCAGCACCGTATACCCCGGATTCCTTCAGTCGGGAGCATGCTATCTCCGTTTCCTGCAGCTCACCATCGGTTCCGAGGTCACGGTTGCATGCTCTGGCATTGGAATGCCCCTCTCTATCCATTCGGACTACGCGCTCTCGATAGCGGCAACCGTCGACGTCAGCGGTCTGGGTTATGCAGGGGGGGCGGTAGGGAAGGCAGGACTTGGCCCTGGCGGTGGAACCGCCGCAAGCACCTGCTGGTACGGCGGGTCCGGGGGTAGCAACGGTGGCATAGGTGGGGACGGTTCCTACCCGGCACCATCTGCTCCGGGCTCTGCTGACGTTCTGTCCAACTGGCCACTGGACGCGATGGGTAGCGGGGGAGGGGGAGGGGGTCGGGAGCTGTATACCCTGTGTGAACGGGACGTACTCTTCCGTTCTGGGTGCGGGTGACCCACTCGTGTGCCGGGTCTGCAGGGCCCACTCCACCAACCTGCACTCGGGTGAGTCTAGCGCGGCCAGCTGCGTGTGCCTCCCAGGCTTCGAACCCGATGCCTCCGGGAGCTGCCAATGCCGATCCCGTGTTGTACGTGCCGGCGAGGCAGTTGCGGATGCACAGCGATGAGCTGACGGCACCAGGATCACGCGTGGTGAAGCCTGAGACGCAGCTCGTGCAGGAGGTGACTATACCGTACGAATATGAACCCACCGCGCAGGGCACGCAAGACCCCTGCGCGTTGACGTAGCTCCCCGCCGGACAGGGATAGCAAGTCAACTCCACCCCAGGGCGGTAGTACCCGCTGTCGCAATTGCACCCGGTCTGATAGGAGTTGATGTGCGAGTGGGCAGGGCAGGACTTGCAGGCACTGGAAGAGACACTCCCAGTTACAGTGGTGTACTGTGTGGAGGGGCACTTAGTGCACGATGTAGAATTACCCATGGCGGTCTTGTAGCTACTGATCGGGCAGGCCTGGCACGTCCCCACGGTGGTGTCCAGCAGGTAGCCCGGGTCGCACGCGCAGTCCGTGGACACGCTTCCTGCATCCTTCGTGCTCATGCGCTTCGGGCAGTACAAGCACTTGGCAGAACCGTATTGGTCCGTGTACTGTCCGATGGGGCACTGGACACAGCCCGAATTGCTGTGGTAGTACCCCTTCTGGCACACACAGCTCTGGATGCCGTTCTTGTAGTAGTTGCCTGCTGCGTTTGGGACAGGGTTCATACTGGATGTATGGACAGGGCATTTTTTGCAAACTCCTGGGCTGGTACTGTTGCATTGGTCAAGGTACTCCAAGCTATTGCAGTGGATCATGCCGTAGTCTTGGCAGCTAGAGCAGTTTCCCGCGCTCGCACCGCCACACCCGCTCCTGTACGTCCCCACAGAACACGACGCGCAGGGGAGGCACTCAGATTGCACCGAGTTCTGGCATGATATGTAATAGTGCCCCGCCGCGCAGGCACAAGGCTTGCAGCTTCCCTTAGAACTCGACGTCACCGTGATGGTGTACGATTGCAAGACATACAAGTAGTTTAGGTACAGCGTGACCAGGTAGTCGACACCGCATCCCACCGCCTTGTAGCCCGCATTGCAGTAGTCGCACGACTGGCACGCATGGTTTTCGATGTACTCGAATTCGTTGTTACAGATAAGAGTCTGACAGGAAACGTCGTGGCCAGTGTCGCAAGTCCCCACAATTTTCTCGTACTGCCCGCATTGGGTGCAGGGTACGCAGTATTGCCAGTTTGTCCCGTACGCTGTGTAGCCTGCGTTGCATTTGCAGTAGAGATTCAAGCAAAAGTAACTCATGGCGCCGTCAGTGTCAAAATACAACACCCTTGAGTTCCCGAAGCAGTAGTAGATGTAGGGGTTGTTGCCCCCCCCGTATGTGAAGGGCTGTATGCTGTTCGGTATGAAGTTGACGCACGCTGGTATATAGTTCCAGGGTATGGGTATATTCGCCGTATAAGGGCTTTGCAGCATTTCTATCGCGGTTCTTGTGTAGTAGGGGCATATCGTGGGCGATGTCGTCAGCATCAGGGTGTCAGTGGCAGAATCTAGGCTGTAGCGGTAGCAGCTGTATATGTTGAGGCAAAAACTCCAATCGCTGCTCGTCTGCGTGCCCAGCGGGCAGTCTGTACAAGTGAAGTCGTTGAATCCCGAACATGAACCCTTCAGATATTGATTCCCTGAACACGACTGTCTGCACGGAACACATGTGGTGCCAGATACATAATAGCCAGGGGAACAGACGCGCACGATGTACCAGAGCTGGTAATAGAAATGCCCCTTCTCGTCGAGGTATTGCCTGTAGCTGAACTGGCTGTTGGGTATGTTGCTGCAGTCGTTGTTGGTGTACCAAGAGGGCTCGCTGCAGTCGTGGGCGTCGTACCTCTGCAAAATGGCCGCCGGGGTGACCTGATGAATGCTGGTGCTCGAGCTACATGATTGACCACCACCCATTGCACCCTCTTCAGCGCAGGACGAATGAAAACTTCTTTAATACACGGTATAACAGGCAAGACAGAGGTAAATGACCCTTTATTTTTACTGATACCTACGCTCATACTGCAAAGGCACTGCACTGGGTCGCGGAAGTAGAGGCGTCGGGGGAGTAGGGTGTGGGACCTGGACAAGGGACCGGGTTGATGGCGTTGGAACACACCACGCACCCGTCCGAAATCGCAACATAGAGGGTGGGACAGCTGCAGGTGTCCGTCGCGTTGGTGGCGTTCTGGGGTGCCAGGGTTGTGGTGACGACAGAGGCGTTGGGGCCAGACAGTGCAAGTGCCGCCGCCGTCGCGTTGTAGCCGTCCGCGCAGGGGAAGCAGCTGGCGGCCGAAACCGCGTAGGGGCTCGACAGCGGACGGTCTGCGGGGCAAGCGACCGGCACCACCGCCTGCTGGCACACCACGCAGGAGTCCGAGGCGGACACGTACCCTGAAGGGCAGCTGCAGTCGGACAGGAATTGCGACCCCGGCGGGCTGTAGGCCTTGTCGCTCGGGCAGGGTTGGCACGGCGTATCGAAGCTGCTTGTCCCGTAGTACCCGGATCGGCATCCACACCCTGTGACGTCCTTGGTGCCTGGTGGGCTGTACGGACGGATGGCAGGGCAGGAGGTGCAGTAGATCGTACCGTTCCCTGTGCTGTACGTCCCTGTAGGGCACACCGTGCAGTTGGGATAGTTGTAACCACCCGTGCCAGGAGGGCAGACACATATGTCGCCATGCTTCAAGCATCCGCACTGGTAGATAGAGACGCTCCCGACCGGGGAGACCGGCACGAGTATGGGGCAGGCCTCACATGCAAGCTGACCCGTCCTGTTGTTGTAGGTTCCTGCGTGGCACAGCGTGCAATCCCCGTGCCCCACCCCGTAGTAACCCGCCGGGCATACGATGAAGTTCTGAAGGTAGCCGTTCCGGCAGGTGCAGTTGCTGCTAGAAGTCGAACTCTCGGGTGAATAGGAGTTGTTAGAGCAGGGAAGGATGCTGGCGCCTCCCGCGCAGTAGTGGTTGGGGGGGCATATGAGGCAGTTCCCGCCCGCGCCGTGAAATCCGGCAAGGCAGACACAGCTTGAAATGTTGGGTGCACCGACCTTGGAATACGAACCAAAGGGACACTGAAGGGCGTTCAACCCGCCTAGGCAGTAGTGGTTCTTCGGGCACAGACTGCAGGACGAATTTCCGCTACCGTAGTAACCGGGATTACAGACGCAATCTCTGGCGTATACTCTCCCTGTAAGGCCAAGGGTAGTGGTGTGGTTGATGCATGGAAAGCAGGGTCCGATAGATCCATACACTGGGAGATAAGTATCAATCGGACAAAGGTCACAGGGCTTTCCAGGCGCGGAGCTGTCATGCTTGTACGAACCGGGAGTGCAAGGGTTGCAGAGCGTTTTTGACACCCTGTAATGCCCCGACTCACATATGCAGTGGCTTGCATTCGATGTCCGGGATTGCAGTGTGTAGGAGTAAGCCGGGCAGGGCGTGCATGCCCATGTCTGCGCTTGTACTTCCGTGTAGGTATCGATGGGACACTCCTGGCATGCCCCTGACGCGTTGTAGAAAGTCCCCTTCGGGCAGGGGATGCAGTACCCCAGGATGTCGCTGTAGCTACCCCGGTTGTAGTCTTGTATGTTCCAGCCGGACAGGGAGTACAGGCCAATCCGTCCTGGGCAGCAATGTAGCCGGCAAGGCATGTACATGCAGAGATGATCGATGACCCGGGGGGTGAAAACGTGTTGTTGGGACAGAAGGAGCAGTAAAGAACAGAGGTTGCTGTCGGCATGACCGTGTAGGTGTTGGCTGGGCACTCGGCGCACTGGCCTTGTCCGATGGAGTACTGGCCGGCGCCACACTCGAGGCAGCTGTCCTGCACCCTCTGGTATCCACTATCGCAGGCACAGCCAGAGATGACCGGTGTGCCCACACCCGAGGTAGAGTGGGGAGGGCAGGCGAAGCACTGGCTCTCGTTCGTCGACCCGGTGTAGGGCAAGTAAGTGATCGCTGGGCAAGATGTACAGTTTGCATTGGATATCGTAGGCTTGTACGTGCCAGCAGGGCAGGGCTCACATGAGCCTCCCACCAAGGTGTAGCCCGGGATGCAGAGACAGGCGGACACTGTAGCGGATCCCGTGGGTGCCCAGGAGTTGGCGGGGCAGACCGTGCAGGCAGTGGTAGCGCCATGATCAGAATAGTAGCCATCGGGACATATCTGACAAGCCACGTTACCCAAGGATCCCTTGTAGTACCCCACGGAGCACGGCTCGCATACGCCGGGAGAGTAAGCATCGTATCCAGGGTTACAGAGGCAGCGGCTCTGACTGATGGCTCCCTCTGAAGAGGAGCTGTTCCCCTGGCAGGGAGTACATTGTACCGATGCAAGGGTGTCCGCATAGGTGTTGATGGGACAGGCAGTGCAGGGTGACCGGGAAGCGTTGACATCCGAGTAGTAACCTAGGGAGCAAGGGAGGCAACGGGCTGGCGAGGTTGCGGCCTGCACAGGCTGAAAGTACCCTGGTGGGCAGGCCTGGCAGGAACCGCTCCCTACCACCTCTTTGTAGTATCCCGGACCGCAGGGGTTGCAATCTAAACCTGTATACCCAGGGAGGCAGTAGCAACTGCTGAGCGATACACCCCCGAAGATGGCAGAATCCCTCCCGGTTGGGCACGCAGTGCAGGCCTCATTCCCCGCAATGTCCTTGTACGTCCCAGGGCTGCAAGGCATGCAATCGCCGTTCGACTCTTGATAATAACCAGGGTCGCATACACAACCGGAAAGGCTGCTTGTGCCGTTCGAGGTGGTGATCCTCGGTACAGGGCAGTTGACACACGACGTCTGGTTGGAATACGGGTTGTACTCCCCCACCCCGCACTGCTTGCAGCCAATGGAGGAGCTACCGTAAGTCCCAGGGTTGCAGAAACATTCGTACTGATGTGTGGCTCCTGCCTTGTTCGTCGTCGAAGCCGGCTTGCAGGCGGTGCAAGACTCATCCCCGCTCGTGTTCTTGAAGGTCCCCACCGGGCATGAATTACACACCCCGCCCACTCTGGTGTACCCTTGTGCACACACACAGTCCGATAGAGCCGTGCTTCCCACCGGCGACACAGAGCCAAAAGGGCAGGAAGCACAGTGGTTCACATCGTAGTATGAGTCGGCGGGACAGGTGCTGCACACCATGGATGGGACATAGGCCGCGTCCAAGTAGTCACCGTAGTATACCGTCCCATACCTCGGCGGATAAGCCACGTAGCCTTTGCCTGGAATGACGTGCAAGAGGCCAGTGATGTGCTTGATCGAGCCTAGGATAGCGATCCTCCCTCCCGAACCACCGCCTCCGGGCCTATTGGACTTGTCCGCATTACCCCCATTCGCGGATATCTCCGCTGTGATGATGACTTCCGGGGCGTCAAGGATGATAGAACCTCCGCTCCCACCGCCCCCAACTCTGTACGCCTGCGGGTTCTGGTACTGTCCGCTGTCCAAGCCATTCGCAATCAATGATGCACTGACGTTGACCTGCTGGTAGGACGAGAGCATTAGAGCTCCACCCCCCGCCCCTCCTGAGTTCGTCTGACCTAGCTGTAGGTTGCAAATCTCCGGACACTTAGCCTCCTGGCGGGCCTCCAGGGGGTCTGAGGCGGGGCTGAAGGCTGCAGTCGGTCTACTGACGGGCCCGGCCGGCAGGATCCGTCGAGAAACAGGGGGGTCAAGGGAGGTTTTCTTCCCCCTGGGAGAAATGTCCTATGGGTTTTTGGATGTGCGATATAAAAAAGTCTTGTCTCGGTCACGTGATGTGTCACGTGACCGGTCAGGTGAGCCTGTCAGCCGGGTCACGGCCCCTGTCAGCCGGCTGACATGTCACGGGCCTGCTGACACGGTCCGCTGACCGGTCACGGCCGCCCGGAGAGATCAGGCCCCCGGCCAATCTCCGGACACTTAGCCTCCTGGCGGGCCTCCAGGGGGTCTGAGGCGGGGCTGAAGGCTGCAGTCGGTCTACTGACGGGCCCGGCCGGCAGGATCCGTCGAGAAACAGGGGGGTCAAGGGAGGTTTTCTTCCCCCTGGGAGAAATGTCCTATGGGTTTTTGGATCTGCGATATAAAAAAGTCTTGTCTCGGTCACGTGATGTGTCACGTGACCGGTCAGGTGAGCCTGTCAGCCGGGTCACGGCCCCTGTCAGCCGGCTGACATGTCACGGGCCTGCTGACACGGTCCGCTGACCGGTCACGGCCGCCCGGAGAGATCAGGCCCCCGGCCAATCTCCGGACACTTAGCCTCCTGGCGGGCCTCCAGGGGGTCTGAGGCGGGGCTGAAGGCTGCAGTCGGTCTACTGACGGGCCCGGCCGGCAGGATCCGTCGAGAAACAGGGGGGTCAAGGGAGGTTTTCTTCCCCCTGGGAGAAATGTCCTATGGGTTTTTGGATGTGCGATATAAAAAAGTCTTGTCTCGGTCACGTGATGTGTCACGTGACCGGTCAGGTGAGCCTGTCAGCCGGGTCACGGCCCCTGTCAGCCGGCTGACATGTCACGGGCCTGCTGACACGGTCCGCTGACCGGTCACGGCCGCCCGGAGAGATCAGGCCCCCGGCCAATCTCCGGACACTCATAGCGTTGACATTTTGCTTTTTCTGCTTTGGGCTGTATGTTTTCCCGTGAGGGGGTTGTTCTGCTTTCTATGTGGATTGGGGGGTGGCGTGTTTGAGGATTTCAAACAGGGTCCAAATTTCAGGTTTATAACTCTGATGTTGTTTTCCAAAAAGATATTTTAAACTGTATTGTGGAATGGTTGAGTATAAACAGAGAAGTAGGGCTGCACCCCAGAAGTTGCAGTGAGATCATGGGGTAGTCTACTAACTAATTTGTAGAGCCTTCTTATGGTACAATTTTATAAACAGACCTCTCTACACGCCATGAGCCTCCCCTTGTTCGGGGCACGTCGCACCGCTCTGTACTGCCCTAACCATGGCTCGCAAACAGCGAGCCCGCGGCAGCGTGTGCAGACATCAGATGTTCACCGAACCTCCTCATGGGAAATTTCTGAGGTGTAGAGATGATGATCCTTGAGGAGTGCTTCGTACAGTGCGTGGATCTCACGAAAAATCGTTTGGTGAGCGAAGAGCATCAATAATACAAGTGAAAATCACCATCACAGGGATACGTTGCAATCGAAACCGGGTTGTGAAATACTCTAAGCTATCTGCGATGCATGACAGGGAAACTGAGTTGGAGTAGATGGATGGAGATTACACACAAGACGACAGGGAATCATCATCCGACGGTGACTGGATTGTTCAAAAGCCGTACAGTCACCAGTGAGCTCAAGAACACATGTCTTCACGATGATGGCTGATAGGCTCGCAAGAAATACAGTGCATTTTAGCAGTGAGCTGCTCGATTGCTTGAAACCACGATGATCCACAGCACTATCGAATGATAACAAGCAAGTCCAGCGGTTCGTGAAGGATTCTTCATCCGGTTTTCAAGAATGTGTTGGAACGATGAAACATGTTGCAAATCACCAAGGTCTATGCCATTTGATCACACGATGCATCATCTAAATATTACTGGTGTGAACTTGCATCAGATCGTGTGTCCATCAATGAGCCGCTGCCAAGCAGATGAAACGGTCACAGCAAACACGAGCACTTTGAAGATGCTGATATTCCAGGCCGTACAGCATTTATGATGTGGCTACATGTCACATGCTTCTTGGTTAACACAGAAATAACTTCGCCAGGCAAAAGATGGAACGTCGTCATGATTACAAGGAGGTCGGTTGTGCTTTTACCCAGATTGAAACGCTTGTAATAAAGATATGATCACCTGAATGTGGAATTCTGTTTATTGATTCACAGTGTTTGTGGTTCGTTTACAATCATCGAGTGCTTGCTCTGTTGAACAAGGCACCCCTCTGTAGAGCCAAATGCGACAAGAACTCTACTGTTGCATGGTAGCATTGCGAACTGTCCAAACAAGGCAGGATTGATTTGAAGAACATCTCATTTATTGATATCAGATTCATCTGCACATTGTTTCATTTCTAACTAGGTTTCTGCAGCGTTGTGGAAATGTCATGACAGAGGAAGAAGGTGCAGTGCAGAAAAATCATCCAACGTCATGAAACATGGAAATGCAATTGTCAATGCACTTGATCATGGGTATAGTGATTCATGATCAACAACGATGATTCAAAGTCATGTATCCTGGCAGGTAAAGAAATCCTTTGTGCAAACGTCTCTTCATGCATCATTGAACGGTTGAGCATGTAAAGCTTTCTCTATAGAAAAGTGAGGTGCATGAATCCTGACCGTAAGACTAGAAGAATTGAAAGTGAGTGATGACACGAGAACACATATCTAGACAGCAAAGTCGCTTAAGGTACAGTTTGATACAAATTTCTCACAAATCATGCATTTGAGCTCAACGTTCAACCTACGGCAATTTGAAAGAAGGGTCAATCAGAGTTGATTCTGTTCAATGGTGAATCTATCATTAGTTGCTTAGCTGTTCATGAAAATTTCATCTTGTCTTCGAAGAATATTTTCAAGTACACACGCGGATTGTTTGTACCTAGGGTGCATATTCCAGTACACGATGGATGATTCAAACCTTGGCCCAACCTGCAGAGTTGAGAAAGAAGCTCGATCATCTCTTACAGGTATGATATGAGATCTTCATCTCATTCCTATCTCAGTTGGGTTGGATTCGAAGTCTCTCAATATCAAGGTTCATCCTCGCGTGTCAGGAAGGCACCATTTCATCGCCTCTTGCTCGTCCAGGGAGAGGGGGCTTGGGGAATGAGAAATGGGGGCTACCCCCCACCCCCTATTACAGAGTTTCAAACTGGTTCAAAGGTGGGTAGTTGAGGGTGCTCCATACCCACCCCACCCCCCAACGAAAGTCAAACGGAGGGGTTCTCGGAAGTCGAAGTTCCGACCAGTTTGGCCCTCGTTTTGTACCATATAAACGCTGCAATATTAAGTTGGTACCACAGATACTTCTAAAATTCGTACTTTTACTTTGGTTTGGCGTGGTGAGGTGTCCAAGCAACCAAATTCAAATCACCCTACCCCTCTTTGGCCCTGCGCAGCAACGATTTTCTTAAGTGCGAGTACCCTCCTACACGCCTTCTCAAAGTAGGGTACTCTCACATGGCATGAAATGAAGGGACCCCACAGGCCCTTCGAAAAAAAAAAATCTTGCCAATTTTTCCTATGAGCGCCCGGCCGGAAAAGCAACGCTATGTAGCCTCCTGGCGGGCCTCCAGGGGGTCTGAGGCGGGGCTGAAGGCTGCAGTCGGTCTACTGACGGGCCCGGCCGGCAGGATCCGTCGAGAAACAGGGGGGTCAAGGGAGGTTTTCTTCCCCCTGGGAGAAATGTCCTATGGGTTTTTGGATCTGCGATATAAAAAAGTCTTGTCTCGGTCACGTGATGTGTCACGTGACCGGTCAGGTGAGCCTGTCAGCCGGGTCACGGCCCCTGTCAGCCGGCTGACATGTCACGGGCCTGCTGACACGGTCCGCTGACCGGTCACGGCCGCCCGGAGAGATCAGGCCCCCGGCCAATCTCCGGACACTTAGCCTCCTGGCGGGCCTCCAGGGGGTCTGAGGCGGGGCTGAAGGCTGCAGTCGGTCTACTGACGGGCCCGGCCGGCAGGATCCGTCGAGAAACAGGGGGGTCAAGGGAGGTTTCTTCCCCCTGGGAGAAATGTCCTATGGGTTTTTGGATCTGCGATATAAAAAAGTCTTGTCTCGGTCACGTGATGTGTCACGTGACCGGTCAGGTGAGCCTGTCAGCCGGGTCACGGCCCCTGTCAGCCGGCTGACATGTCACGGGCCTGCTGACACGGTCCGCTGACCGGTCACGGCCGCCCGGAGAGATCAGGCCCCCGGCCAATCTCCGGACACTTAGCCTCCTGGCGGGCCTCCAGGGGGTCTGAGGCGGGGCTGAAGGCTGCAGTCGGTCTACTGACGGGCCCGGCCGGCAGGATCCGTCGAGAAACAGGGGGGTCAAGGGAGGTTTTCTTCCCCCTGGGAGAAATGTCCTATGGGTTTTTGGATCTGCGATATAAAAAAGTCTTGTCTCGGTCACGTGATGTGTCACGTGACCGGTCAGGTGAGCCTGTCAGCCGGGTCACGGCCCCTGTCAGCCGGCTGACATGTCACGGGCCTGCTGACACGGTCCGCTGACCGGTCACGGCCGCCCGGAGAGATCAGGCCCCCGGCCAAGTAATAGACCTGTCCACTCCTACTGGTTT